TGCAGATAGACAAAGCTACTGTCTACTTTACTTGCAGAAGAGCTGGTACCCAACTTTCAATCTTGGCATGTTCACTTCAGTGACCTCTCATCTGCATGTTCTTCCTTCTTCAAAGACTGGGTTTCACAAGAATCCGAAACACTTGCAGCAAAACCACCAAGCTGCATCCTGCAGGTAGAAACCCCCTAAACTAGCGTGTCTTTGGAGACCACAGCGAATCACTTCCACTGGCTGCCCACTCTCTCTGGCCATTCAGAGATTGACTTTGATTTCACAAACCGTGTAAATCATCCCAAGATTTACTAACCCCTCCCACCATCCCATGTCCAGATCCTTGGGCCAAGAATAGGATCCTGCATTGTGAGGTTTGCCAGTTTCACGTTTCATCAGACAGGGTCTCCCGCAGCCAATCAGCCTTTTCCTCTAAGGAGAGCAATTTCTGGAGTACTCATCACCCAATGATTAGGTGGGAAAGGAGGCTCTCAGGCAAGGTCACTGGCCCTGCCTGGCTTTGCAAGTACGCACAGATTCACACACGGCACGCTCCTGAAGTTAAAATCCTTCGTTCTCCAACTTCTCTTCATGGCAGTAGTAAAAGGACAAGCGTGACTATCATTTATTTGAACATTTCCAGTGTGCCAGTTCCTGTCTAAACATTTGGTTTCTAAATGAAACCTGTGAGGGTAGTATTGATACCCATTTCATATTTGAAGCAACTGATGCACAAGGAAGCTAAGTGATTTACTCACCGGCCGAAGAAAGGCAAAGGCCATGTTCCCACCAGGGTCAGGGACCAAATCACACTATACTACCCACGCCATTTCTGTGGTGACTGCCTGACCTGAAAAGTCCTGGCATTGATCAGAAAAAAGGAAGTGAGCAGGGAGGAAGCCGTGAAGCGGGACAGCGAGAAGTCGTTTCTGCTATTGCAAAGGGAAATGCCAGGAGATTGGAAGTCCATCCTCTGAAAGGCCAGACAGAGGCTGCGGATCTTTCCCGGTGTCCTGGCCAGGTCCCCTTCGAGGCCAAGGTTTCCGGTGACTAAATCCCACCCCTCCCACCTCTGGGTGTGGAGGAGGCAGCGCGCGGGTACCAGCCGGGGGCGGGGCGGGTGTGGGGGGGTCTTGCCCCCGCAATCCCCCTGCGAACCGGAGGGCCAAGGGTTAACGCGGCGGGAGCTCCAGGCGCAGAGTCGCAGCCGCCGGGCTGGGAATGCTTAGTCAGGATTCCGATTTCCTGCCGAAGTGTTTGGATTTCCTGAAACCCGCGCCCTCTGCGCCGCGCGGGATCGTGCGAGCCGCCCGCGTCGCCGGCCTCCTCCCCCTCGGCACATGGTCGCCCGCCCCTTCCTGCGCCGTGCTCCGCTCCCGCGCTCGC